GTGTTGGACATATATGCCATAAGTGACAGGGTTTACACCATGAAAGCACAACACATGTGTTGTTGCTTGCACCCCATGCCCTACCATGGATCCTTATGCCCCAAACCAAGGAAAGTTAGTTCCACCCACTTTGCATCATTGCCCTGCCCAATGCAGCCCTCAAACTCCCAATCAATGTTAAGTGATTATCAAAACTCATCCCTCTCTGGATGCTACATTTGATTAAAAAGAAAATAGTAAGTTGTGATACAGATGTTCCAAGGGCCATGTGACAGTAAACAATTTCTAATTTAAATCAGTGTTTCCCCAATTCTCCTAATATTACTAATCACTATAGCCATTACGTAGTTTCAATAGATTTTCAATGACTATCTGATAAACTTTTCCATGGGTCAGTGGTGGTTCTTTATAGAACTCTGAAACTTTTTAAAAGATGGTATTGAGAGGAAGCAAACCATATACTCACTCAGGAAGAAACCAACAATATTCCTTAGTAGCCAATAGTAGTTAACTCCCAATCAGTCAATGGGATAGATAAGGTTAACCTTACTGATTGGGTTTATTCATAAGCATATTATAATATATAATAAGTGGATAAAAAGAAATCACACTTCTCTTTTTTAATAATAGTTTTTATTAAAAGATTTTGCATATATAAGAAGTGCATTCAAAGAAAAAGATATAGCAAATGGAAGGAAAAAAATAAAAGAAAGGAAAAAAGAGACAGAGAAAAAAGGAGATAGAAAAAAGAAAGAGAAAACAAAAGCACAGAAAATATTTAGACAGATAGATAGACAGACAGACAGACAGACATGGTTTCTGATCTTCCTCTTGGCAGTTATACATACAATTCTAATCAAACCTCTTTAATTATGATTATATCATAATTCCCTTCTTTCTATAACCTATTCCTTCTAATCATCAAAACCGTAAGTCTCAAAATCATTTTCTTTTTACACAAAAAGTCTATAAGGGGTTTCCAGTCATTGATGACTGTCAATAATGACCTTTCTTTTATCAAAGAAGTCAGTTTATTGACCTCAGCAGGTTTTGTCAATTTCACCAACCATTCCTCCATGGTGGGAAGTGCCAAATCCTTCCATCTTTGGGCATATAATAATCTCACCACAGTAATCATATATTGAAATAATTGGAAGATTATTTCAATATATGTTTACTCTTATTCATGAGTAAACAATGACTCTGGTTTAATTGTACATCCATCAGTCCAAAAAGGAAAAGTTCTGGCTTCATCTGAATATTGATCTTTAAATTCCTCTGTATCAATGTATATATTTGAATCCATTTTTTTTTCTTTTTAGCTTTTTTACCTGTCCACCATGATAGAATGTTCCTTCATGTTGTTCACATTTCCAACATACATTTGGAATGCCTTTATACATTCTAGGTAATTTCTCTGGCATCATGTACCAATGAGACATCATTTTAGAAAAATTCTGTTTAAGATCATAACATAATGTAAATTTCAACTCTTTTGACCACATATTTTCCTATTGACTCATCTATATATTATAACCAAAATTCTTAGCCCAGTTTATCATACTTTCTTTAACCTGTTCTTCCATTTCAAATTTCACCAAAAGTTTATACATTTTACCAATTACATGTTCATCATCTGTACACAACTGCACTTCAAATTCTGTCTTTGCTCCATACCTTAAGTTTTTTTTTTAATCCATTTTAGATCTTTTTGATAGCTGTAAATAGGAAAACCGCTACATGCTTCTGCCATTGGTTGCTCTCTTAATTTAATTTATATTCCACTTGGTGATTCTCCAATAATTCCAGGTATGTTAACCATTTGTCTTTGCCTGTTGTTTCTCTCCCTCTCTCTCTCTCTCCCTCTCTCTCTCTCCCTCTCTCTCTCTCTCCCACAAGAAACTTAATTCCTGAAGTCTCCTTGTGAGAAGCAGCTATCCAGAGTACAGGTGGGCAATCTCTTGATCTCTCCTTCTCCAGAGAGAATTTTGTCAGCCAGAACTTGCCACCTGGGTGCCAATCTTCACCCTGGTGCTGTCACTGCTCATAGAAATACTCACAGGAACATCTAGCCCACCATAGGTCCTCACTCAGAAGCCAGAAATCACACTTCATTACGCAATGAAGCCTTCACTTTAATAAAGGCTCTAAGAATCTGTAACTTTTGGCTTAGCCCTTATATTCAGCTTAGCTCTACTGTTTATTTTTGACTTAGCCCTTATCTTAAACCCACACACACACACACACTTGGTTCCTAGCACTAAATGTTAATGGCTCCCAGTCACTTAGTATAACCTCTCATTGCTAGCTTACATTCTTGCAGTTATCACATTCATTTATCTTGTTACTACCTTGTTGCCTTAGGCATGGCTGAGAATACCAAAAGGCTAATTCCTTTTGTTGAATCTGCAAAGCTGTCTATTAAAAATATATATGTGAATTGGGGTCTAAAATTAATCCCCTCAAATGTTCTTCATCATCAAGTATTCTATTTTATTAGTAATAATAAGTAATCTCCACATGAGCTGTTCATCTTGGCATAGTGTTAGTATTATGGCTTAGTCACATATGCATCTTCAGACTTTCAGGAAACGATATTTGTGATTCAGATAAAGTGGTCTCTATCTTCTACTATATGGTGATTCCATTTCTGAACACTTGCTGGAGAAACAACAAAATTCATGAAACTTTCAAAGATATAATAAAAGTATGTATGTACACCTTTCTACACAACTTTTTTTTTTTTTTTTTTAGAAACATGTCCCACATTTCTGTTTTATTTAGGGATAAAAATTAAACTTCTAATCTAATCTATTCTAAGACTAGCTGTGTTCTTGCACCTTATTCTCTGTACAGGCATTCATAACTAATAAGGGGAAAGTCAAATCAAGTGGGGCACCGAGAATTGGTTTTGCTGAGTTAGAAGCATATACTGGATCTAAACTGGAAAGAATAAGTAAGACCTGGTGAACAGACATGGAAAAAGGTTGGAACAAAGCAGAAAAATATCTCATGTCACACTTAGCAATAAACTGGAATGTGGTTTCTTCATTCATTTCATTGTAATTGCCTTCCTATTTCATAGGTCCTTGTTATATAATAGCTATAAAATAAGCAAGTTAAGTAACCTAATAAGCTAGAATCTGATCTAATATCCTTTTCATTAAAGGGATACAACATGGACAGATGAACTATCTTTATACCAAGTTAGGTCATAATTCCATCCAGGTAGGTATTTCAATTGATAGTGCCCTCCAACATCTCAGGTAGAGACCAGATTTCCTTCCCAAGATACTTTGACTGGAAGACACCATGTGCTAATTTTAATATTTTGCATAAATTAACCCTGCAGCTGGGTAATCAACCCTCACAACTAGGATCATATACCGTCCTATTAGGTGGTTCAATTTTTAAAAAATCAATAAATAAAATGCATGGAATTTAATTAGTTCCAAATTGTATGTAAAACAAAATTAAAATAGATACATAATAAAATAAACTATTAATGGAATTTCAAGGACAACTTAAATAATCCTTATAATTAACACAATCTCTGTGGGGCTTTGATAATATCTCCTGTCTATGTATATAGGTGCATTTGTTTATTTATTAAATTTTCCACTTTTATTTCAGGAGCTTAAGATGGTCTACGTAAATCTTTTTTTCCAACAACAATCCCATGAGGTAGATTGGCCTGTGAGAGAGTGACTGGTCCACACTTACCCAGTAGGTTTTGGTGGTTGAGGGTACATTAGGGTGTACCATGTTTTTGCAGGGGTTAATAAAAATATAAATTCCTAAGGAATTCTGGTTATACTGGGTATTCCTTTCTGGGTGAAATAGTTCACAATTAACCAAACATTTTCAGTAATCCTAGAGATATTTTCCAGACAATATTTTTCATTTTAAATGTCACTTTCAGCAAGGAATATGTAATTTTCACACTGCAAATTATATAAACACTTTCAAACAGAATAAATACATTAAGAATAATGAAAACAGACATAATTTAGTTTTTGTAATTTGCTTACCAAATTACAAAGCAGACATCAATTTGAATGTAATGTTGAAGTACCTTTGAATTTAAAATTATAGTAATAAGAATATACTCGTGTGTGTGTGTGTGCGCGCGTGTGTGTGTGTATAGCTTTTAAAAGCAAATCTGTGAAGGTTGCCTATGTAAATGGTCAGGTTCTCTGGGGTGAGCATAGCAGAAGATACTCAGACATTTGACATAGTTAGATAAGAAACTTTATTTTATTCTAGAATGAAGGCCCTTTAAGCTGTTGACTACACTTTGCCAATATGAAGTAGAAGCCTGTCTTATATCCATTACAGTTTAATTATGGCATTTTTTTTCAAGTCTTTATCAATTTACCCTTATACTTCTCAGCATAAGGAACTATACTACTATTGGCTGTTGACATAACCAACCCTTGGGCCCCGAGAATGTCTAGCTACCAGCTTATCTCCATAGAAATAATATTACATAATAACTAAGGATCCATATTAGCCCCATTTTGGAAGCTTATGATTGCAGCTTCCTAAGAAGTTTAAAGAAAACAAAGACAATTTGAAAGTCTGTACAACATACTTATCTGATGCAAATATAATCCTGAAGATTATTCTATATCTCATAATAAGAGAGGTTCATCAAAGCTTATAATATGGAATTCATAATTTAGTAAGACATTATATCAAAGGCAGTCCTCCATTGTTTACATTAGAAGGACAAGCCAAGAAAATAATAATTTATCTGTAGTTAATTATGAACATAATAAAAATCACTGCATTGGGCCTCAGGATAGAGTTGAGTATTTGAATGTATCTGATCTGACTTTGGAACTGAGGTTTTGAAAGCATTGCTGTAAGAACTACGTATACCAGCACATTAGAAATTATACATGAAGCTTATGATATTTCAATTTACTGAAGTTTTAGAAACAAGTGCAATGTAAAAATAACAGTAATTTAAAATCTACAGACCACATTTCACTGCTTTACAAGCTAGGTTGGACATGCCTCTTGTTGATTAGTTTCTGCAAGGCTCCCCTGAAGTCTTTGTTCTTCAAACTGTAAATCACAGGGTTCAGAAGTGGTGTTATTACAGTGTAGAAGACAGAAATCACCTTATTCAGCTCTGAGGAAACGTTAACATTGGGGTGAACATACATAGAGATCATAGTGCCAAAATAAATGATCACCACAGCCAAGTGGGAGCCACAGGTAGAATAGGCCTTTTTTCTTCCAGAAGCAGAGGGGATTTTTAGAATAGTCATGATGATGAAGGCATAAGACACCAATGTAAGCAAGAAACATGTAAAAAGGACCAACAGTGAGAGCACAAATATAATAATCTCAGTGACTGAAGTATCAGAACAAGAGAGTTCCAGCAAAGGTGGGATATCACAAAAGAAATGATTGATTTGGTTGGATCTGCAGAAAGTTAGTCTGGAGATCAGGAAAGATGGCAACAATCCTGTGATGAGACCGATCACCCAAGATCCAGTTGCCAGGCGGGTGCAGGACTGAATGTTCATAGTTACTGTGTAATGCAATGGGTCACAGATGGCCAGGAATCTGTCGTACGCCATCACAGATAACAGGAAGCATTCCGTTGCCCCCAAGAAGACAAAGAAGTAGAGCTGGGTCATGCACCCATTATAAGAGATGGTACTGGTCTCCCAGAGGAGACTGCGAAGCATCTTAGGCACAATTGTGCTGGTATACCAGATCTCTAGGAAAGAGAGGTTTTGGAGAAAAGCATACATAGGAGAATGAAGACCTGGCTCCAACCTGACCACTGAAATGATAATCACATTCCCCATGACAGTTAGTATGTAGATAAGTAAGAATATAATGAAAAGGATGATCTCCCACTTTGGAAAGATCTCGAACCCTAGAAGCTGGAATTCAGATATGATACTGTGGTTAGCCATCTGCTTCAATGTTCTCAAGCTCTCCTACAGACATAACTCAGTTGTAATAGATAGCTTCCATGAGGAGTGAGGTGACCTGTTTCTAACGGCATCTCCATGTTACCACCCTTTATTTCCCACATTCTAAGAAACCGTTTAAAGATGACTCATGCTTGTCATGACTTGAAATACTAAAAACAAGAAGCAAATATCACTTGTCCAAAGGTTTGTCTGGGCTGAAGGGAAGTTGCAAGCAAGCATTTCCCTTAAAGTACCTGAAGTTCAGGAGCCAAGAGGAGAGGTGAGACAATTGCTTAGTTGAATAGGAAAACGGAGCAGCCACATCAGAAACCAAACCAACCCTAGCTTCACTGTTGCTTTAGCTATGCTACAGCTGGACCTTAATAGTGATCAAAAAGTGCTGGCAATATAGGAATCCAAAACTTCAAAGCTGCTTGCAGAAGTCTAGTGCAGCATTCTAGTGTGGATATGCTGAAAGAGAGAGACAGAGTAATAATAATAGCAACTGAAAATAAAATTATATAGATAACATTATTTTACATGTACTTTGTACCAAAGCAAATACCATTAAGTTCTTTGGTTGTGTAATGATTAGCTGTAATTGTTATCTAGATTTTAGGAAATTCAGTATTCTGTTTCTAACAGTGGCCAACTATAATGTACCTAGGAAGCTTACAGGCAGAGTATGAATACAACTGTGATAGCTTTTTTCTTGTCTCCAACACCTGCTATTCACTTTGGACTTGGATGATCCATTTAGAACTCATACATAATAGTCCATGAATTCATCTAAAGCTTTCTTGAAATGATCTAATTTAAGAACCATTACCTACTCTGAGATAGCACGTTTAATATATTACTGAATGCTATCTCAGTGGAATTCAATTTCATAATCAACAACTTGGATGGGAACATCAATGCTTACCCAGTATACAGTTGGGATGATAATGTGACTGAATCAAAATTAAAAAAAAAGAAAAGACAAATCTAAGTGTTGAATGGAAACCAGGTTGATATTCAATACAAATAAATATAAACTTTCTATTTAAACAGAATACAAGAATTAGACATGATAATACTCATTCACAGAATTATCTATCTATGAACAAATTGCACATTATGCTTAATACATTGTATGCAGTTATGTTTCTGATAAATTGCAGTTGGGATTGTTATTCTGATGACAGGTAAGTTGTCTTATTCCCTTCATTTTCATCTATGATGCAGTTATTAAAAATGTTTCATGGACACCAATGAACATGTAAAATAATTCCTTTGGTAGGAATTATATGAATGGAAAATGTTGATGCTGATTGCATGCTGTGATCGGGATCATAATCCTATCTAAAAATATCCCAAGAAAAACAAGCAACAACAGCATGCTACAAATTAAACTTAAAGTTTGGTCCATAGATCCAAATATTACTATTTAAGAATTGACAAATTAAACAAGTAGTGTTCATTTAAAAGGCTAGGGAAAACGACAGACCAATGATCAACATTGTTTCATTTCCTTTCAAAACCTGATATGAAATTGCACCCCATTTGAAATGCTACCTTTCATTTAAGCATCCAGAGCTATAAAGAAAATGAGGTGAGGCTGCTTCAGGATCCTGAGTTTTCGACTGAAGAAATACAGAGACCATGATTATCAAATCTTGGTCATCACCTCTGGGATAGTGTCCCTACCACCTCTGGGGAATTCTCAAAGGAAAAATCAAGGCTCATCTGTTGGGTGTTAATGAAGAAGATAGGCCCAACACATGTAAGAAAGGAAAAACTCTGAACAAAAATATTGACACAAGGAATAGCAGAAAATAGAGCTATTATTACTCTTTTGGGAACAGAGAATATTAAGCTCAAGGCAATTTCATCACTATTTACTTGATCATAGAAAATTAAGTACAACCTGTACTGAAGATTTCATACAGGCATACTGTATGTCTCTACCATGAAGTAAGTCATAGGTCAGTTCATGATTTCACTCTTTCTCACTCTTTCTCTCCTCCCCCCCCCCCCCCCCACACACACACACATACACACACATCTTTGGCAGAGACTCTGAGGATTTTGGGAGGCCTGAATCAATCCTTTCAAATTAATGTTAGCTTTCCTCACAACAAATTCAGGACATGGGCAGAAACTTATTTTTGGCAATCTGAAAGATTTCTGTGATAAAACTATAACATGTATTGTCTTTATACATTAGTTGTATCCATATGTGTGTGTGTGTATATTCATTCTTAATAATGTCGAATTTCTTCAGTATTTATTTGAAGAAATAAATTTGTCTGTTGTCATTCATTTCCTTCCCTTACATTTTTTAAACATATCTCTGTCCCCTTCTTAAAATGGATGCCAGTAATGAAGCTAGTAGACAAGAACTGCTGCATAATTATTAATACATTTTAAATTTATTCATATATATATATATCTCAGAAAGAGAATATCCAGAAGAGGGCAGCAAACAATAAATAAAGGTTTTGGAATGCATTATCATATCAACTTGTGGGTCATCACTACTTCTCAGTGAGTTTTCTGTTGACCCAGCAGTTATATTTATATTTATATTCTACTGCAACTGCTTGGAAGCTGAGAACTTAGAGAATGTTATGTTCATGAAAATCAACAACGTGCTCTTGAGTCTTCTACCCTAAGGACTTGTGGTAGATATTATTTTAAATTAACTACTGTCTCTTTTACTCCATGTTATCATCATATCACAGTATTACCTCCATTGCTCAGATGAGCTCATTTATTTCAAATTTGGCTGTCATAGGAATCTCCTTCACACTTTCTCTCTCTTCCTTTTCCCTGTTGAATACATATGTGCACACATATCTTCCCAGCATTATTCTGGGGAGTCCCAGGTGCCACAGTATCTCTTTCTGTGCCTCCCTCTCTCACACACAAATGTGCACACATGCATGAACAGATGCATACAGAGACACAGACACAGACACAGACAGACACATATATATATACACATACATACATACATACATACATACATACATACATACATACATATACGTACACATCATTAGTTTGAAATAAGAGTCTATAATTGGTTATCAACTGCTACATGCTGAAGATTTTTGGTAAGAACTCTGTAACTTGGTAAAAATGTTGATAGAAGGGCTATAATTCAGATCAACCACTCTTTTCTGTAAAAACTCATCTCTTTCTCCACATGGTATTTGCCCTCAAAAATCTTCTTTGCACAAAACAGTAGGTACTTGGAGAGAAACAGGAGGAAGGAGGTTTCAAGGTCTCAGAGGCTGCTTTTCAACCTCTCATTCTGCATCTCAGAGACTTCCATCTTCACTCAATTGAAACACGGTAAGTTCTGTATATCACGATTACGTTGTCTCTCACCCCATCCCACCCATATGAACTAACCTGACACAAAATTCAGGCTTTAAAGGGAGTAAGAAAATAAAGCCACAGTTTTCCTAATGGAACTGGGAGGGAAGACAGTATACTAGGGGTTTAAATTTGAGCCTGCCAGTTCAAGAGCTGGTCTTCTAAAGAAGAAATTTGAAATTACACAGAAGGTAACTCCACTTTTTGGTGTGTGCGTTGATGTCACCTATGTCACATTAAATTGTCAGTGCACAGTTTTAGAACAGGAATCTTGACCTGGAGTCCATGAACCCAGATTATTATTGGACAGCTAGTCAACCTTCAAGGTTCTAAGTTGAGCTAAAGATATTAAAAAAAAAAAAAAGTTGTGGAAACCTCATTCAAGCCAGTTAAAGGGGAAAAAAAAAACTTTATTTATGTAATTAATTAATTAAGCTTTTATATAGACTAACTTCTTCTTTAACTTTAGCTAGAAAGTCACTATGGACTGAGGGAAGGACAATCTCATTCATAAAGGGTGAAGCCAATAAGACAGAACTATTTTCTAAGAAATAGTATAGGAAAGGACATAGAAAGGACATAGAAATTTTCTGGAGTCGGAGGAGCAAGCAACAGACAGGCCTTATAAAGATGTCTTCTTCCCTCATGCTGACAAATTCTGCATGTATATTGCCTTAACAGTTACCTATTGGGGCAAGTACCCCAGTTCATCCAGTGTTGCTTGATCCCATGTTTCAGTTCTGAGCAGAATAGAAGCAAAATGCTAATCTTGGTTTCTCAAAAGGGGGGAGAGGAAGGCAATTAGGCATCTTATGAAGTATTTTCTTTTAAAAAATTCTTTTCATCTCAAAACCAGTACCTATTTCACTCCCTAAAATATGTATTTGAAGAAATACTCAAGTGTTCCTATGGATTAGGAAACTCTTAGACTGTAAATTGTTGCAGAAATATAAAGATGTGCATTTATGGGAGAACAACTTCAGAGATCCTAAATATAGTCAAATGTGTTTTGACTATATTTTTTGTTTTTAGATGTTTGTATTCTTTTTGTTCATTTATTTTCCACTAGTGTTTTCACTAATTATATATTTTGGTTTCTGTCTAGACAGAAGAAAAAAAAATCAATAAAAGTAATAGAATGGATATCAGTAACCAAACTGCTCCATCAGAATTTATTCTCCTGGCATTTTCAGACCTTAATGAATGGCATTTCTTCCTCTCTGGATTTATGATCTTCACTTACCTCGTTACAGTGACGGGAAATGCTCTGATCATCTTTCTTGTCTCCTTTGAATCAAATCTCCAAACCCCTATGTACTTCTTCCTCAGCAATCTTTCTGTCCTGGACATCTGCCTGACTACAACTACCATTCCTCAATTGATAGTGAACTTGATCTCAGGAAGAAGTGTCATTGCATATGAAAGGTGCAAAATACAACTCTTTTTCTATGTCTTATTTGTTGGGACTGAGTTTCTCTTATTGGGGGTGATGGCTTATGACCGTTATGTTGCCATCTGCAATCCTCTCCGCTATACCATGGTCATGAGTCAAAAACTCTGTGGCCAGCTATCAGCAGCTTCTTGGTCCATAAGCTCACTCAATTCCACCATACACACAGTTTTCACATTCAGTCTACCCCTTTGCAGGGCCAATAAAATCAACTATTTTTATTGTGACATCTCTCCTTTCCTAGCTATCTCCTGTGGGGACATTTCCAGAAACACTAATGCAATACTAGCCACCAGCCCTGTAATGGGCTTGGCACCAGCAATGTGCATCATAATTTCCTACATTTGCATTATCTCAAGGATTTTGAAAATGAATTCCTCAGCTGCTATGAGGAAAGCCTTTTCTACCTGTGCTTCACATTTCATTGTTGTTTTGCTCTATTGTGGCAGCTGCCTTTTTTCATATATTAGACCTATGTCCAGCTATTCGCTAAACAGGGACAGCATTATTGCCCTCATTAACAATATGATTTCCCCTATATTAAATCCTCTAATCTATACTCTCAGGAACAAGGATGTAAAAGAAGCACTGCAAAAGGTTATGATGAAGAAATTATTCTCCTGAAAGACAGAATTTCTTGGGAGATACTAAGATATCTGAAGATTCTGCAAACTCACATGTGAATTTTAAGAATACAAGAAGAGGACTTAAACTTAATGTAATGGTAGCCCTTGATCAGTCTGGGACATGTATCTGTAATGCAACCATTACTTTATTTTGTGTTCTCTTTGCCATTATTTCATTTATCAAGTTTGTAAGGGCCCCCAGACTCCATGATGTCTCAGGACAAAAGGTACATGTGAGGAATTCAAGCCCATTAGAAGTGTCTAGGAACAGATGCTTAAAGCCTAAAAGTACATATTATTATTTTTTTAAAAATTACATGCTCCAATAGAAGTTTTTCTGTCATAATGGTAGGGGAAGGAACTACTGTACTTTATTCTTTCTTAGGATGAAATCTGGAGATGAGAGCCTAGGAATATGTCTTCAGATCTGGGGAAACCAGAGTAGAAACACCAAAAGGAACAGTGAGTGAGTCTCTTGCTGTCTATTTCTATGTCTAATGTGTCTAGTGTCTGATATGTATCCAG